GAGGTCAGCTACAAGAATATGTAATAAAAAATAGGGAATGCCGTTTAAAAAAATTGAGGTAACTTTTATGTGACTTTCAAATAATTCTTCAAGGTCAAAACAATGGTACCATCTTATGGTCCCCTCGAAACCAAACAACTTTTGTCTGAAAAATTTTTCTCTCCCATGCTTGGTTTTCGACATATTTGACTGGATGGATTAAAATGGTCTACCCTGTATAGAGTGCCCCAAAAAGGTCGGGACCCTTAAAATTCTCGAAAAATATAAATTTTACAGAAAAGTGTTTCAGACAAAAGTTTTAGGGCTTAAAACGATTTATTTACTGATCTTATCAATTTGACTTTGGATGGTGTCGTCAAGATTAGGACAAGGTCATCTTGAATTTTTTTAATGGAATCACGTATTTTTTATCGCATATACTTGTAGCTTATCCGATCGCGCAACCTCCATGTAGTATACTTTGGGTAATGCTAATGTCGGCTGTAACTTTCAAGTCTCATAACTAGAATAATATCCCGACTTTCTTGGAACACTCTGTATATACATATTCTATACATAGACTATACATAGTCTATACATAATATATATATAGACTATATTGGATAGTCATGTGAAAATCACATAATCTTCAATTTCTTAAATAGAAACCCTTGCTTGTTATTACATATTTTTATAGGTTGTTTCAAGAGCTTTCCAAAACATTATGACACAGTATTTCTTCGTTAAGTACATCTCGAGTTACGAGACTTGAAAGTTATCGCCGGTATTAGCATTACCCATGGTGTGCCACGTTGAACTTGTACGGTCGGATTTACACCTCTTTTGTATTGTGTGTATGTGTATGTATGTGTATGTGTATGTACGTGTATGTATTACAGCAGAAATAAGGACTCACGGTTCGTTATTCCCGTAGTATTTTATGACTCTGAACCCTCTCTGCAATATGTGTGTGTATGTGTATGCTCTCGCATGTGTGTGAGTGTATGAATGGGGGGGGGGGCGCCTTTGAAAGAAGATTGCATTTGGTAGTGATCAAAATGGCTGTTTTTTAACAGCTGTTATAAAAAACAGTTGCATTCATACACTCGCACACGTGCGGGGGAAAGCATACACATATACACACATACCATAGAGAGGGTTCGGAGTCATAAAATATTATGCGAATGATAACCGTGGAGTCCTTATCTCTGTTGTAACATGTATACACACATACACACATACATATACGCATACACACATACACATACACACACACATACACATACACGCATACACATACACACATACACATACACACATACACATACACACATACCCATACACACATACACATACACACATACCCATACACACATACACATACACACATACCCATACACACATACACATACACACATACACATACACACATACACATACACACATACACATCTTATACTCGTGTTTTCAAACCTCCATCCATGAACTTCTTGAGTCCGATTCTCCTGCTTCGACTGCAAATCAGTCCAGATTTTATTCAATTTAGTTAAAATATTTAAGAAGAAATCCAAACCGTAAGTAAAGTTACAATTTTAGTTTATTCTTTCGAATTTTCACACATACATACATATTCACGTTCACAATCACACAGACTAGCCCAGGGTAAATTAGTTAAATCCACTGAGCTAAAAAGGATTAAACCTTAATATTAAAATTATTTAAGATGTGACAAATGCTAGTACCGGTGATAACTGTTAAGCCTTGTAACTCGAGATGTACTTAACGAATCTGTAGTTCTGGACATTCACGAGAGATTTCTATAATTTTTCCTGTCAGCTTTTAAATTACAATTTACAGAATTACAATTAGATTCTGCTCAGTTTCTGCTGTTAATTTTTGATCATATTTTGTTAGCAAATTTTGTTATACTTCTGCTAGCAAATTGTCAGAAATTTATAGTAAACACTGCACAAAATCTATTTCTACAGGTCTGGTCATCTGGAAAACAATGATAACGATACAAATATATTAATAGATTAAGTTCATAATGTTATGTGAAATATTACGTTATGTTATTATGAACGTTCTCAAGTCAATATGACTTACAAATGTTTTCAAACTTTCATAATGCTTCTACCAGATTTACTGATAAGTCTTTAGAATGACATATTAGTGATGTTGCTACCTCCAATGCGTCGTAAATTTCCAGTAGTGCCAACCTTCAAACCTTTCACTACATAGTTGCAGACAGCTATGACAATCAGTATATTTGTGACAGCCACCGAAAACACATAACTTCTTATATTTTGTAAAAATAGAAAAAACTGAAATTCGTGCAGTGGTTAAGTATTTTAAAAGCTTGCAATCGCAAGAAATGATTGAGGACTTTCAAAAAACTTTGGGGATGTCTGCTCCGTCGAATGCAACCATATATGGATTGCTGAGTTTAAACGTGGTCGTACCAGCACATCGGATGCACGACGCAGTGGTCATCCAAATGAGGTGACTACAAAAATGAGAGAAAAAAATCCATGATATCGTGTTGGATGACCCCAAAGTTAAATGAAGTGAAGTAGCTGCGGCTGTGGGCATCTCATCTGAACGTATGTTCAATATCCTACACGAACATTTGATATCAAGTGTTTGGGTATGAGAAAGTTAACTGCAAGATGGGTGCCGCGATTGCTAACAATCGATTAAAAACGTGAACGAGTTCGCACTTCTCAGCATTGTTTGGACGTGTTTAAGTGCAAATCAAAGGAATTTTTGCGTCGATATACAGGGTGTTCGGAAAGTACCGGGACGCCCGAATATCAGGAAAAATATAAGTTTTACAAAAAAATGTTTCAGACAAAAGTTGTGGCGTTTAAAAAGATGTATTTACTGATCACATCAGTTTGACCTTGG